TATGAAGCAGAAAGTAATGGGAATTAAGCTAATGTAACATTAGAAATGTAGAGGCATGGAACTTGAAAGTGGCATTTGTTAAAGCTGAGAGAGTATAATGTAGATATTCAACAACATAAAACACACATTTAAATTGAAAAGGATATTTAAAGCATGTGCAGACACCTATAAAATACAAGTGGACCTAAAATCCTGTAGAACAAACATTTCCTAATCAATTTCTTGCCACCAAGGTCCAACTTCAAAAGGTATTAAACAGTCCTATTCTACCTTAGCAGAACATTTCTAAGTATTCTAAAGCAGACAATTTAAACATTAAAGAAAACCCAATGAGAACTTTACAAGACATTACAGACTTTCCCCTATTTGTCACAGTATAGAAGTGTTTGAACTTAAACAGCAGTAAATTATTAATTACATTTCTTATAAAGCCTCAAGAGCAAGAAAAGATTTTGCTGAAAATAGCAGAAAAGGATTTTGTATCAAGTTTAAAACCAAGTGTAACAGAAAACAAACATCAAGCCACCTAAAAAAAAGAAAAAATACACTTGCCTGGCTGCCTTCTTTACTACTTGTTGAAAACATTTAAGAATTCATTATACCTATCAAGCTTTCCTTTAAACAGGAGCTGAAATACTTTATTTTGAGTGTGCATTAATGTAACAAGCACATAAAAAAAGTCAAACCAGTAAGAACGGTTGTACTGTGACAATAAAACTACCGAGGCTGAAAGAAAAATTGTGATTTTTATTTTTCAAAATATGATAATTTAGCTGTTCATGTTATCCTGGTCTAGCACAGTTCACCTGTCATTCAGATAGCTTTCATTTCCAAGACGCCCACAGCCAACAGCAGTCAAAGAAAAACAGTTGCAGTGACCGAAATACAGAATGCGATTCCTAAAATATTTTTTCAAGATTTTAATTTAACCTAAAAAGGCCACTGAAATCCTGAAAGTTCATCACCAGCCATGTTAATGCTGAATGCGCTGTTGTTTCATTTACATTTCTGGTCCTGCTAAAACAAATACACTTGTCTAAAACAGAACATCTGTTTTGGTTATAATACAGTGTATCTTTGGCAAGAACTCACAATAGAACTAACATAAATAATCAAGAATATTTATTGAACCTTGTAACAAAAACTGATTTGTAACAAAAAACCTGAAGACTGGATATGACTGTCTCTGGGCTCTAGTCCAGTCCTAATCTAAGTCAATAAACATAGCTCTAAAAGGGAAACTATATTAAAAAAAAAGCAAGTCTTGCAGATATTTAAGTTGGATATAGGTATCTGAAAGCATGTTGGTTACAAAAATAGTGAAAAATATTTGCTTTAAATCAAAAACTGTCAAACCGAGTCCAGACAGGTTTTAAAGCCACATGAAAAATCATGCCATATGCCTCATTTCCTACTACTGTCTTCACTGACTTGCCTTCTCTTTAGAAAACTTCAGTAAAACTATATGTAGTTTGTACTTGTCACTGCTGAGAATTTGTTATTTTAATTGCTTGCTTTTCACATATTTATTAGGACTTAAAAAGATAAAGCAGTCCTTAAATAAAATATTGTAATGTTTTCTGAGAGAAACTGAAATGAAGGAAATTATTTTGGAAGTCTCTTTTGATACTGATACAACTGAAATATTTTCAAGTGAGAATCAGTTAATTTGATTCTTGACACACAATTGAAAAAAGCTGAAACAGTGTTCTTATCTAAGTCTGTAGTTAAGAGCTCGCTAGAGTCATATACTGAAGCCAAGAAATAACATCATGCACAATTCTGAAATCATTGTGCAGTACTTTAGTAGTAGAGAGACTATTTCAGCATGTACTGTACATACACGCAATCAACTGTTCTGCTGTTATTATCATTAACCTTCATTGGAGTGCATACCTCTCCAGATTATTTGTGCATGCATCAACTGCACACACCTTCTTTCTAAAATTACTATTGTATCATTTCCCTGGAAATGCATGATCCAAGTTCCATATGATGAACTCAACAAAAGTATAACAGATTTTTTTTTTTAATAATCATTTCGGATCCTATTCTCCACTTGTAACAAATAAAATAAGTAGTATCATATTAAAAGTCTTATTTGCCAAGAAAGCTGAAGTCTGTAGTACCTATCAACCACCTTTCTGAACGACAGATTAGGAAGTTGGTTGGGATTTTGGTTTTAAAGCACTACCAAACAATCCAGCCTCATCTGCCAAGCCACTTTACATTTGGAATTCTTAAAGGAAAAAGATTGTAAATGTAAATAAAATTGGTAATTCTCTGAACACAGCAATGAACTGAGTTCTGTTTTGCTGGGCAAGGATTTCCACCTTCATGCAGCTTGAATGCTTGGGAAAAGGTATTGTGTTAGATGCAACTGATTCATTGTTACCATTTAAGTACTTGAGAGTTTGTTTTGTTCTGGGGTTTTTTTGGTTGGTTGGTTTAGGTTTGTTTTTTACAGTTCAAATGCTAAATTGATTTGTAAATCTATTTTTTTTAGTTACAACTGCAACCTGCTGAAGCAGACTTTCTTTAAAAAGGAATTTTTGGAACATTACTTAAATTGACTCTTAGAGGTTTTAATTGAAAAAAACAATTTATAAAGATCACCTGATCCAAAAGCATACTATGGGTTTCCACAGAACTGATTAAAGATCTGCATTCAGCCTATGTATATACAAAGCCCTCATATTTTCCCCTGTCATGACAGAACAACATAATTAAGGGAAGACTTTGTACATGGAAACAGAAAAGGTTTTTGTGATCTGAGAGTGCATACTCTAGTGGACTTCTTTTATTTAAAAAAAGAGGATCAGCAAAGCACATTCTTCCAAGTCATCTCTCACAGTTCCACTCAAGAAGTGTAGAGTTCTCACAATATACACCTACTATCACCTATTGCTCAAAATAATTCTGTACTAACTGCTCCTCATTTAGCAAGTATCACTTACATTTTTGAACTCAGACTGATGTAAATTCCAGGCATTTCCCTGGATTATCAGAAGTGGAGGTGCAGCATGCCTCCACTCATCGTTCCTTTCTGTTACTAAGACATACCAAGGAGATTAAGGAGAAAGATTTCTGGAGCTGGAAAGCAAATAGAGTAGCTATCTTGCAGGATTCAGTGCCATGGCTGGGAAAGCCCAGCACTGTATAATGCTATGAGCGCCACATAAACCTACTTCAACAGAAAGGGCAATGTGGGAACCCCAATCTTCCAGAAAGAAACTCAGTCAAGACTGTCAATATGTGAAGAGAGACACAAGAACTGCAAGTCCAGCTTATTTGTAAACCCACATACATATAAATGTACACACAAAAAGCAGCCTACAAAGCTCAACAGCATCAAATATGTGGCCTACAGCATGGAGTACAAAAAAATCACATTATTCTGATTATTTTAATACGCAGTACATCAGTGTTCTGCATAATATTTCTGAAGCAGGGAGTAGCTCTTCACTGTACATGAGCACAGCATGAGAAAACCATTGACAATATAAATATACACTGAAAGCAAAAATAGTTTTGATTATGCTAATTTTCACTTCCCAGAATTAATCTTGCAGGTTAAACAACTGCATTTATATATTTTTCCTAGAAATATCACAAAAAGTTGTAGAAAAAATGAAAACATTGTCTGTCACTGCTAGAAAAAGCACCACTGGATAGCCTGACTTCGGCCTTACAGAACTTATAACAATTCCTACTTCATAAGAGCTTTTATCAGTTCCAAGAACTTGGTAGCTCTACTGGCACCCCCCAAAAAAATCAATACTGATAATTATTTTGCCAATTCTGTCATCTTGAACTATAAAAAGTGAGAAAGTAAAGCAAAATATTCAAGTACAAGAGTAATTCACAGGGAGAAAACTATCTGCCACTGTATTATATAAATAACTTTATGTGTAAACTAGTTATGTATATTTTGTAGCATCTGATCAATAAATAAATAAAATCACTATTAGTCTTTCAGACAAACTGCTTATGTCAACATAATGGATTTTTAACCAATACAAAGTGAACAACAGTCAAGTTAAACATTTGCCAAAACCCAAACCCTACTATGTCTCCTGAATTAAAAAGGACATGTAAGTATCAGGTCTTGCTGCAAATTTACTTAGAAATCTTAGAAACAAAGAACAAGTGTAATTAAATGATAGCATAAATTAGTAGGAATAATACATTTGCTGAACATTTAGATTAAGTAAAATAACTTCCTAATCTATGGAGAAAAAGGCTCTATTAAAATGTATAAAGTAGTTTGAACAGAGAAAAGCCATAACTTTTTCAAAAATTCTGATAACTTTTTTCACTGTTTTAAGACAGTGAAAAGTAAATATCGCTGTTAAACTTCAGCACAAAACATAATCCAAGGTAAATAACCAGAAATGCTTTAAAAAAACAAAGATGTGAATTAAAAGAAAAGAGTGGTTCCACGTGGGAGAAGAGCAAGTGATACAGAACAGTTTCCATCCAAAGCAAGAACAGAATAGTTTAGTTTTAATTCAGTCAACTAATGGATAAAATTTGAAGTTCAATGAGGATAAATACCACCACTAAATTCTGTTAGGTATTAACATATTTATTTCCAGACCATTTAATACCCATAGGATTAGCAAGCATTCCATACCATAGTCAGGCAGGACAAGCTTTATCATCTGCATTTAAACCTCATTTATCAAGAAATAAACATGCAATGCCAAACACAGGTCACTGGCTGTTTGAGCTGCTATTCTCTCACACTTTGTTACAACTATCATAGCAACAGAGTGGAAGAAAAAATGAAATGCTTCAGTGAGTCTCCCTTACTGACTCAGGAGAAGTACTTCCATGCTCCAAAGAGCTACAGCCATTTTCCTTCGGCTAGACGGATGGGTCAAGCTTGACTCAAAGAAAGACAAGGCAACAAATAAATACTTAAAAAAATACATTTAAAGCTACCTGTTGAATTAAAAAATGCTGAACAGCTGAATATCCCGGCAAACTGATCTTACCAGTATACAACATCCAGTGGTGCAAAATATTTCTTCATAATTAAGTCAGCAAAGTAAGCTTCTGTTTCTCTGCAGGCTGTGCCATTGCCAATCACAACAGTGCTACAGCTTTGCATGGGGTAAAAAAAATGAACAATTATTCTTAATTATTCTTTTATACTTTTTCGTACGTGGCATTCAATCCACAACAATGACCAATACATCTTATTTTATATAACACAAGGCCCAGATTTAATGAGAACATATTCCTAGTAACATCACATTGTGTTTAACAGGTTTCCAATGTGACAGTTAAAGAGATGACTCAAAATTTTCACTCATTTGTAATGGGACTGAACAGTGGTAATATCTGCAGAAAAACTAAAAATGATGCTTCATCTTCATAAAACAAATGTAATGTTATTTACAGTCCTCAAACCCTTTCACTTCATATTTCCCTCATCTGTTATGAGTCATGAAAAAGGGCAGAAGCCCAAGCAATCAGAATCTTAATTCCTTAATGGGAACATCATAGCTTGCAACAGCTTGCAAGGTCATTGCCTCTGCCTGCTCCCCACCACAGCCAGCCAGCCATCAAATCATCTTGTTTAAAGCCAACCTAATGCTTAAGGACAAACTGGACTGAGCGAGTTCAGCAGCTGACTCAGTGGACCAGATGTCTGTCCACAGGGGGATCCCAAAACAGTTGGACACAATAATGCTTTAATCATGCTGCCCCTATTTGCAACTCTGTCTGGAGATCTATCTGAACAGGATTTCCTTTGCTTAATAAAACTCTTCCAAAGACTAAATGTGGCTTTTGGAACAGGAAAGGATCAATGAGTGGTTTGGGGATTGTGGGGGGATAGGAAGAGTGAGGCTAAACTTATTCCTTAGCTGAATGTTAATTTCTGTTCCTAATAATAAATGGATTGATGGAGCTTCATAGGGATACATTCATAGTACGCAGCTTTAGTGAAAGCCATGGCTTGATTTCACATGCTTCTAACATATATGCAGCGTAAAAGCATTAATATAAACTAAAAGAAAAGTAAGCTCTGAACTACATTAAAAACTAATTCTAGTTAAATCATTAGAATTCTTATTCCCCCCAAAAAGTATTTATATAGTAAAGATTTTCACTACATTTGATAAGAAAGAGTAATAAATGGAAGTTTCTTTAGCATACTTGTACTGCAGAAGAAGCCTCTTTATCTTCTCAGCTTCGTGAAATCCTTTACCAGAATGCAAGTAAACGACATCGGTATGGAGTATCTGACCTAGAACAATGAAAGGCAAAGCCATTTGATAAAAACCACAAAGATCCAAAAGCTATATATCCTGTGGAACTACTCAAGTTAATTTGATGATTCACAAAGAAAGCTTCTTAGTAAGCCGTCTTTCCCTTTTATTTTTGTATCCAATTAGAAGAAATGTACAGTAGACAGGGGACTAAAGTGCTTTGGCTGCCAAAGCAAAATGAGTTGATACATTTTCGAGTTCCTTGGGGGCATATGCACATAACAAATAATGAGCCCCTAGTCATATTAGGCAAACAAAGTGTATTGTATTATCAAAGAGAAAAACAGCAATTCACTGCAAAAGATTTATTGCTCTATTCTAGTACATTTTACAGACCCAGTAAAGAGAGATGAAAATTAGAAATGCAGTCTCAGGATTTGCAGTTCAGGAGCTCTAGAACTCCAATGCCAGCTCTCGCCATCATCCCACCTATCATATTTGGAAATAACTCCGTATTAACTGGTACTGATAGCTTATGGTGAAATGCAACCTAATAGCCACCTACCTTACATTTATTGCCATTTTAACGTGTCAAGAACACATCTTTCCTTACACCCACCCTGGGTGGACATATTTTCAGACAAAAAGCAACAAAATAAAAGGAAAATAAACCATTTTTACATGGGCCTAAAGAGGTATATATCCCCCAGGATGAACTCGAAAGGCTCTGTTCTATAAGTGTCTAAAAAGTAAACTAAAAAGTTCTGCAAATACAACGTTTCTGACTTCTCATTTTAACACACATACTACTAAACAAAAAAGGGCTGATGAAGTGTCCAGATGTCTAAGATATTACCCATGAAAAAAGCAAAGTTATAGAAAGTATTTAAATTCAAATTCTTTGTTAAACAATAAAAACGCCAGGTGTTCTCTTTGCTGATTACTGAGAGTCATAATTATTTGAACCTGTATTCAAGAAGGCAGAAAGGGATTTTAAATTCTATTTCAGAGAGGACTAGTAACACCAAAGTAGACACTGGAATCTAGGTGCCAGAAATCTAACCTTAAGCCTGAAGAAAGGAATTTGCATTACAGGATATGTGGAAAACACCAAAAGCTCAACAAAAAAAAAAAAGTCAGTTTGTTAAAAAAGTAGGTTCTGAAACTATCCTTTCCTCTAAATGAATATACTATCATCAGTCCTTTCAAAAATATTTGGAATTGAAACTTACTGGTTGGTGAAATAATTGCCAACTTGCAGCCATGTTTGTAGCCAGGATCTACTCCCATCAAAGCACGGCCCCTCACAGGGCTGGTCAGAAGCAACTGCCGGAGATTTCTCCCAAACATCATCACAGATTCTTTCTCCGCATCAGATGTCAATTTCGATCTAAGAAGGATGAAAGCAAAATACATTTTTCCTGTCAATTAGCTTTCAAATACATTTTTCAATTGGTCCAATGTTGTAAGGCTTTTTCCAAACATGTTTTCCTTATCTTTAATTAAATAATACACTTCCAATCAAGTTTTTCACACTTTTTTAGAAAGGATCGGCTATGTGATCATTTAATTCTGGTTCTAAAAGTAAATCAACATGAGGAGTATAACAGAAACACCTATAAGAATGTACACATACCAACTAACGTTCAAACATCAACTCATCATTTTGAGCAAAGAACAACTTCCCGTCAAAGTTGATACCTAATTGCAAAGAAAAGTGGATTTGAAGAAGGCATGGACTGAATTCATCATAAATTCACAGTTCTGGAGAAAAATCACTACCCAGCAAAAAAAGGATCATTTAGGCTGAGAGGTACTAGGAAGAAACTGGAAAGGCCTATCGAATTAATTGCTAACACACCATGACTCATGAGGCATTTTATTTTGCCTACGAATTGCGTTATTTAACTATTGTCACAGAAGCGTGCAAACTTGAGATCTTCCTAGGAGAATATTCTGCTTCCTCGGAACAAAACTAGAAAGCTGATGGAAGTCACAATGTTCCCTACCTTTCTTTTCCATGTTCTTCAACAGAAAGAAATAGTGCACCAAAGATTGATTCTGATTACTTTAAGCAAGAATATTTACTGCAGAGTGCTACGAGAAACAAAGCGGTCTTGTTGCATTAAGGTGTACAAGATACATGATGCCTTATTCATCAGATGGGGCCAGTAAGACAATGACTGATAAGGACAAGTATTTTTGTCGTGGTATGGCATCTTATATTAAAAAAAAAAATTGTAAAAGTAATGGCCATTTTCAGCTGCATTACATTTTCAATAACTACAATAATTCGTCGAGCAAAAGCAATCCAGTAAAGCTTTCATATAACTTAAAGGGTAGCCAGCACTCTTATTCTCCTTTTCCTTTCACCCATCACTGAAAAAAGTAATATCCAGGTTTGCTTTTACAAAAGAAAAAACCTGCATTCCAGTTAACTAACTCTAAGATTGGGGCGGTGGAAATTACTCAAGTTGTTTGGGTCAATGAATGCATGACACAAATAGGCTACAAAGACAATCCTCATAAGGGCTATTTGACATGATGGGATATGAAGCTGTTCTGAGCAGTTTTCAGATGCGGAAAAAATTAAGGGTCTGACTTGAATTTGCCCAGAATCCGACCAAACAACCAGCTCAGCCCTGTCTCATCCCACAGTGGTACACAAAGAGCTGATAAGTCTTCATCATCTCTCATTTGTAAAGCAGCCTAGAGATAGGCTTAGATTCTCTTTCACACATTGATTGAATATTTTCTGTGGAAGTGTGCAACAAAAGGCTCCCTTATATCCCCATGTTTTTTGTTTCTCCATCAAGTACACCAAATCAACGCAGACATGATTTAAAGTGAGACGATGAAGGGTATACATGCATTCCAAGACTCCTTAGCAATTCCAATGTGCCCTCAGTACCGAAGAGCAGACAGTCTATATATTGCCACCACTAAAAACAAGAACATAGGAATGGCTGCAGTAGTTCACGTAAGTTGTCCCTTTGTCCCATTATCCTGTCTCCCAATGTGGGTATAAGCAGCTGCCTAGGGAGCTGATACAGCAGCACTAATACAGTTGTCCCATAATCTTATCCTAGCCTCCAAATAGTTCCAGCTCATAGTATTTCCTGAGCTTGATATGGTTTGTCTCTTTAGTAGCCTGCAACAGATCTCTTGTCCAGCTACCCAGTCTCCTACTGAACACATGCACATTTCTTGCATCCATATAGTCTGCTGGCAGCAAGTTCTGCAGGTCATCACAAACTGTGCAAACAGCTTCCACCTTTTGGTTGCAAGCTTATTCTATTTAATTTTTATGTCCCCCTAGGTCTTACACTGGAAGAGAAAAATGTATCCCTAGCCCCATGCCACTCTCACACCATTCATGCCTTAGTCCTCCCTTTTCCAAGCTGAAGAGTCACAGCTTAGTTGATCCTTATTCACACAATTTATTTTATACCTTGTTCCCTTTCACTGGGCCTTTTCCAATTCTAATGAATCTTCCAAATTTTTCCCCAAGATGAAGAGACCAAAATGGCCAATAATATTCCAAATATTTCCCAGGTATATCAACAATTCTGTTTCGTCTTTATTCCTTAACTAAATAACCTTATCTCCTGAACACTTAACATTTATGTGGAGCTACCTTCCATGGTGCCAACATGTCTTTCCTCAGCGTCAGGGTAGCTCAGAGGTCATAATTTTCTATATAAAGGAAGAATTACTTGCCCTTGCAAGCATCATTTCACACTCATCTCCACCGAATTTCAGATGCCATTTCATTTCCTGGTCATTCAGTCTTGCAGCATCCTTCTGTAATACAATAGTCTGTCCTATTCTTAAAACATTAAGCAAAAATAACCCAAAGACAGAATGAGCCTCTTCCAGGAAGAGTCCAGGGACATGGTCTGGAGGTGTTGGTTGAATTCTAGCCCATGCAATCACTAGAACAATTTGAAGACATTTGTAAGAGACCAGAAACAACAAAGCAAGTACCTAAGCCTCACTACCATATTGATTTTCTCCATACATGCACAAAGGTTTAACAAGCCACACATTCATAGAAATTAAGTTTAAAAGCAGCTTGTAAACATGGAAAGCTTGAATGCTCTCGGACTGGAGGCTTTGTACAGAGACAGGCCAAGTTCTACCTTTCTATCCATCCCAGAGATAGGGGGTCCCTATTGCCCACAAGACCAGTCCTCCTGCACTGCAAATTCACATCAATCCACCTGTGAAGGCAGACTTGTGCAGGAATTAAAATTGTCCCTAAACACATGCTATTAGTTATGTGCACCTTATGGAAATCATGTTTAAAATTGGCATGGATATACAGAAACTTTTATAGTAACAGGAAATGTTACTCCAAGTGCCAGGTACGTAGGAGGAACATAACGTATGTCCTTTCTATTACATAATATCCTGTATTTTTTAATTTCAAATATAGACCTCTCTTTTCTCTCTAACTGTCTCTCACTCAACACTTGTATCAATGACATGATTTACTGTCCTAAGTACTGGCCTTTAATTTCAACTTTGGGATAGTCATTTGATCCTTAGACAAATATCAAGCTACCTCAAACAATCTAATGTCTTTCTCTTTTTCAGTGCAATACTGGCTTCATCCAAATGGCAAGATGCCCAGCTTCATGTTTTTCCAATTTGTGACAATTCTCATTAATATGTCAGAGATATAAGACAGAGGCAGATAGCAGTCTTCCTCTCTAAACACTAGAGGAATGGTTATTTTGTAAAAAAAAAAAAACAAACAACCAAAACCAACCAAACAAAACCACACCACAACCCTTCAGCTGCTACTTTTTGAAAAAGTAGTAACCAAGTCAGAATTTCAAGCCCCTCCCTTGAACTCTATGAAGCATTCAGACTATGTCACTAACAGGTACATTGCAATAAAAGCAAACAAGCTAATCATGACCTACTAGCTTCTATATTCAATGTTATACAAGTCAGTTTTTAAATTGAGATTTAAAACTCCCCACTTACATATACAGTCTGAGAGGCAATCCTTTCCATGGAAAAATATCTGCAAACTAGCTTCAGGTGTGAAACAAGATATACAGAGAAATGTTTGTGTCCCTGAAGACAGAGGAGAGAAAGCATTCACTTCGAGAAAGCATGGAAAATTAGGAAAGGATTATCCATTAAAAAAAATATGTCCATGCCACATCACTTGCATCAAACCCTGATGGAATCATTCCATGCAGTACTGCAACAAAATAAAATGTATTTCAAAGAGCCAAAAGCAACACTGGACATTATTATACCAGATACAAGAAATTATGGTATCTAACAGAGTGGAAGAAAGGAAATTAAGCAATAAATAAGGGAACTGTCTTGCTGGCAAGTTTCATTATTCTGATCACTAGAAGCATCAGAAATTTCAATACACTCTTGGAAACTTTCTGTTCCAACATTTAATGATAATAAAAAGAAAATAAAAAAAACAGTGGGGGGTGGGTTGGATATATTAACACTAAAAGAAGGTATTGAATACTTTAGCAGTCCTTTGCAAGAGTCCTAAAATTCAGCTTCTGGTGTGGGCGGAAGTAGAATAAAAGTAGAGTAAGAGTTAAGTGGTCATGGACCAGGAATACTACTGACAGGTGCTTTGCATTCCTCTCTACTGGAGATGTTCCAGCATTTCCTAACCAGACACCAATAATCACACAAAATTATCACAAAGATTAAAACATAAGCAGACTTCTGCTCACAGACAGGCAGTAAGCTTTGTAATCTTTGCATTTATGACTTTTGAGCTAGGAAGTAGTAAGGGAGGAAGCTCTCTTTTTTCTTCAGAGAACAGAAAACCTTCAGCAACCTACTGCTGCAGCAGCGCTCAGTGTTATACATAACACAGACCACAACAGTCTTGCAATAGGAACCATGAAGCAAAAACACAATACAGGAGCCTTGAAGAACTCTTATGTTAGTTTGCTTATTTATGATAAAACCAAACCCCCATAAAAAGGTAAGTTTTTTTCTTTATTTTAAAAGAGTTTTATTGTAGAGAAGGCTAGGAACAACAACTCCTTCCACCCTCATGTGACAAAAGCCAACAGTTGGATTCACCATCTGAAATACTAGGGCCTGAGCTGTGAGGCCCTGAACCAAAGTTGACCTCTAGGTGAACCCCACAACCTAACAAGATACCTAATATGTATAATATTGATCACATATGCATTATGTCATTTTGGACATAAGTAAAAATAAGTTTACTTTTTTTGGTGCCTGTGTCCTCTGTGCTATCCCCATCGATTGGCAAAACACCATCATGAGATGTTCATCGTTTTAGCCAAACAATAGACACAGTGCCTCCCCTAAAGTAGCAACATGTACTGTGGTCACAAAAAAAGTTAACTCAGCACTTTCAAAAATGTGTGAAATTCACAATAGCAAAAGACAGGCTCACTAATCAAAACAGGGGAAGCAATCTACTAATCAAGAGGTGAAGCAAGCTTGCTTGCAAAGTAATGAGCAAACGCAATATACTGTGGTGAAGAAACTCAAAAAGCCACTAGAAATATCTGCTGTTCAAAACTTTAGCCTCTATCTCTTTTCAGAAGTGAAATACATACAACATCCAGACAATGACACTAAAGGAAAGGAAGTGCCAGAAATACAACTCTAATTTGAACAGAAACATAAGAGGACAGACAGGCAGGTACAGAAAAACCACATTTCAGAATGTGATTGCTGATTTTATGTACTGAATAACCAACACATGTTATTTTGATACAAGTCATTTCAACATTTCTCATCCAAGAAACAGACAAACTAGACTGTGGACAAATGCCATTTCAACTACCTCAAAACAGGTATTAAAATTCAGGTCACATGTCAGAAAGCCTTCCCAAAAATCAAACATGTTATGCTTTGGGAAGCTTCTCTTGTATTCAAGAGAAGAATCACATGATCAGTACTGTTAGCCATTAGAAGATAACACTTACAGAATGTAGACTTTTTGACATATTAAATAATTTCAATTATGTGGTAAACTCCTGTACTACACCATGAAAATACCCTATTTAATTAATGTTACTTTGATAATACTAAGTTTCCTTTAAATTTAGAACAATATTACAGATCTTACAAGTGACACTGTGTGCTGACAACATTACTACTACAGTATCACCAGAAATAAGTTTACTGACTTCTCTAGAGTCAGCACAATACCCACAAAACAGTAAGAGACTAACACTATGACTAATTCATTCACCACAATTTACCGATGACAAACATGAGGGATACTTCCAACCACAACAATTACTTCGCTGGTTTCTTTCAGACAGATAAAAGAAAAGGAGTCAGAACAACATCACTGACAGTAGTATTGTCATGACATGGAGAGACACTGGAAAAATTCACCAACATAATGGTTTATGTTAATACGAGGATAAGGATACAACTACTATGGTAATATAGATCTAAACTGTACTTTATTAGATAGAAGTACAGGCAACAAATACATAAACATGTAAAAGGTCTTCACAAAAAGACAATTTCTGTACTGTAGCCTAAACTGGATAGAGTCACAAATCAGATCTACAGAACCAAGACGACATAATTGATTTCTTCTGTAAGCACAGAGGATTAAAAACATGTTGATATGTTCAAATGGATAATAGATATTCTAATAAAAAGTTGGATAGGGAACTGTTAAGAAATTGCTAGTATGAAAATACACATTCATTCTGGGCTTACCTGAATTCCCTACAGAGGAGAGGATATATAAGGCGTTTATATGCATCCTCTACAGAATTCCGTAATATCCTCATTAATTCTGGTTTTAAAAATTGCTTTGGTCTCCATCTGCAAAAGAATAGAATAACAAAATTAAAAATTTTTAAGAACATATGGAAAAACTCAGCTAAAAACAAGTTTCAAAAAAAGACTTGTACATTGAGTGCAATATCACTACAATATGAATGAATATGCAGAATTACTACAATAGTTATTACCATTAGGGCTGCATTATTTGCTACTCCTCAATATGTTAAAAAAATGACTAAACATCCTCTATGAGTGACACTGCAGAGTCAATGAGGTAAGGCCACTGTGCCCAGACACAAATTCAAGAGCTAAGCTAACATAAATTAATGAAACTGAATTCATATTTTATTTTGAATGCTTTGAGAACCTCTATTCAAACTCAAAATGAAATCTATCAATTTTACAGCAGTCCTTTAAACAAATTTGCAAATGATTTTTCTCTTTTACCTATTATTGATATCTTTAAAGTGTAAATAATATTCTAGTAAAAGGGAAAATGAAATAAACAACACCAAACAAACACAAGACTATTTCCCAACATTTTCTAAGCACAACACTTTGGAGCATTCTATTTTCTAAGTCGACTGTGCATAATGGTCATAGCCATAATGACAATTACTTCAAATGTTGTCCTAAAACACACCCCAGTTTCAAAGTTCCTCAGAACAGAGATCCCAGATATTTATTCCATTAACATTTTTGTTTTGGGCAACATTACTAGGGGAGACAGGGGCAGGGTAGGTCCCTCGTACAAGCACAATTGACTCACTGAGACTGTCCACCCCACGAGAAGGGAGAAAGATTGATGAGACTCAGCCAGATATATTATACTCAGAAGTAAAGACTATGAACATTTTCTATTAAAGTCCACCTGTTTATTTCTTTTAAAAATACTGATAACAGTTTGTTTCACTTAGTTTATTTTTTACATGCCTGAGTCCCTAACTGCAAATTGAGATATATATATATATACATACACACACACATATTTTTTTATATGTCTGGGTAGCTTTAAGGTTTTTTTGGGTTTTGTTTGTTTGTTTTAAATGCAACGTAACAGAATTTGATAATGTATCCAGATGTAAGCCACAGCAAAAACAGGACTGAGTTTAACTTTTGACTTTGTTTACCTTAACTTCCTCAGAAATACTGAGAATCCTAAATTGCTCCTTCCCAGACACCTTTTCAGTTGTTCAAGGGGATCTACGATTTCCTGAAACAGCTTTTCTAAGTATCTATGCATGTAACAGTTGAGAAGTGTGATCAAGTCAACACTGCATTAACACAGACATGGGAGCAGAAGTAAGCTTACCATTTAGTTTTACAACAGAGTTGTGAATGTTTAGCCACATGACCTCATCACTTGACTAACAGTTTTCGCAAATAGTCTTATTATACTTATTTGTAACTACAGACTCTTTCCATACCTATATAAAACTGGCAGCAGCTTTAAACCTCCTTCATGCCATCCAATTCTATAAACATTAAGTTTTTACAGGTGGTAAGTATGACTACAGTCCCCCAGAAAGTATCCTCAGCATAAGTAAGAATGAATTCGGAAACCTGGCAGCGGTTTCTCCCTCTCTTCTATCCATTAAAGCTAGTTAGCAAAACTTTTTCTCTGTAAATATTTGTCATAGCAGATATTTTTATTACCTGCCTATATAGAAGTAAAAATTATTTAGGCAACATTCTATTAACAATCCTACAACTGCTACAAATGCAAAAATATCCAAACAGTAAGTTCAATCATAGCAAATACCACATTTTAATCATTCCAATATTCTTTTTCCAATACAGGAAAGAGAAAAACACACTTCACTGCAAAAAATAAAGCAAAAGCATGTGTGTATAATTTTAAAGATCATCATCTCTAAGAACAGATTTTTCTTGATCAAATAATCAAGAGCTGATTTTCAAAGCCCTTTAAATGAAGTCCTATTTATAAAAACTCCATATAAATAATATCATGTTACTTTGCTCATCAGGTCTCCACGTGCGTGTGCTCACAACAGGGACCACCACCAGCATAGATACACTCAGACTACTGATACACCTCAGAGGGTGAAACTACACATCCACAGAATTAACATAGCCCATGTTAAAAACCCCTAGTATTAATTAAGGACTGTTCCAAGAAGAGCACAGCTAGGCTTTTAGACCTGAAGGACAAAAAGTAGAGCTTTGTTTTCCTCCAAGACGTTATATGAAACTTGTACCAAGCTGGTAAGCACACAAAGCATGCCTTTAAGGTCTGCACTATGGACTTGAAACAGGGTCTGAGAATTTTGTCTGCAAACTGACAAAATGATTGACAGAAGTTCCATGGTTGACAAATAGTAAACTTCAGCACACTCAGTTGGGAGGGATCCCATGGGAAGCTGCCATGGAGGATAAAGGAGATAGCGAGTACCAGGAATTTTACAGGAACGCTCTCCCGGGAGCGCAAAACCAGTTCATCCCCTTTAAAAGTAAGGGATGCACGTGGAGCAAGAGGCCCCCTTGGCTTAACTGTGAGCTTCTGAGTCTGCTCAAAACCCAAAGAGGAGTGTAGCAGAGACAGAAAAGCAGATGAATATCCATTGAAAACTACAAGGGCATTGTCAGGGCATGCAGAGATGTAGTTAGAAAAGCAAAAGCTCAGCTTGAATCAAAACTGGCCAGAGATGTCAAAAACTACAAGAAAGGGTTCGTCAGGTATGCAAACAACAAGCAGAAACAGAAGGAAAATATTGGTCTACTGTTAAAGAGGAGAGATGAATTAGTGATGAACAACTCTGAAAAGGCATAGGTTCTCAACACTTTCTTCACCTCTGTCTTTACTGGCACTGTTGGTCCCCAAAAATCATTCCTTCCAAAGTTTTTTGACAGTGGACAAGTTGTCCTTAAATAGTAGAAAGCCATAAGCATATATAGACTCATGAATGCTAAGTATTAATAAGTAGTTCCATTTCCAAGGTCAATATTCTTTTTATCTCAGGATGACTCACAAAAATCAACCAAAAATATCTCAATTTTCATCCCACTTTCATTTGTGTCGCAGTGACAAGCTGTTCCATTATCTGTTGCTCACAGTGCTTCCAAATTCTATCACAGACACAGTAAAAGCAAGACTGACAGATATATTCTGCCTACTGAATATACATCTGGGGGGGAGAACAGAAATTTCACTACAGATATTGAAATTAGAATGGAATTTAGGTGTGTTTATGAATCCTGATACTTTCCTGAAAAAAGTTACTGTTAGTCCTAGTTCATATTATGCTATCTGGCCAAACAAAATTAACTTTGTCAGAATCTTCTGTGTTGGAAACAGAAATACTAAATTTCTGCAGTGAAAAGGAACATCTTTACTACATCCCTTTCTTGGACTTGGTGTGGAAGAAAAATACAAGATAAAGCAGTATCACAGTATACAATTCTATAAAAAATACACTAAATAAAAAAAATGCATCTTTTCCTATCCTTTTTTCCCTCCTTTTAGAAGAAAGGTAGGAGTTTCTAGGACACCCTCAGAACAATGCCATACATCTCAAACTACTGAGAAAAAGAAACCTGTCTTTCATATATGCAAGGAAGATGCACAGTTTGGGTCACAATATTCTCAAACAGAGAACACCAAGGTGCAGTTTCCAAGAAAAAGACTGACAGACATTTCATAAAACATCACATATTTAACTTAAACTTTCACAAAAAACCACAAAATTATGCAACGCTAACACCTCACTACAGGCTTAAAAAAAAAGCAACTTGCAAGAGCAAATCAGTAAGAAAAAAGAATCACTCAAAATTTTTAAAAATTCAATTACTTGAAGAATGGTGCCAGAATTCCCTAAATACAGCCAAAGGCACAATCTGTTCAGCATAATGCTACAGCAGTTGGAAACACAGAATAAGAATTATCCACTTGCTAATTTAATCTAATAAGTATTCATCTAAATCATTCTCTTAATGCAATGAGACATGTGAGGTACATTTCAGTATGCAGCTGTCTATAGAAAAAAAGATGAGAATATGTATCCATGCAGACCTTTCATTGACACACCACCAACAGAATTCATTCTTCACCCCGTCAGGAATGTTGACCTTCACTGTCAGGATCTTCAGATTTTCCCCTCGGTTAATGGCCAGAATCTGAGTGCAAACATAAATGGCAGAGACAGATGACACACAAAATATCCAAAAGATAAACTTATCAACATTTGTGTATGCGCTTGCTTGACGTTCTGTAGCAAATCATAATGGTGGTACAGTAAATCAGTTCACAAAGTACTAGCATGTACAGATAACATCCACAATTTAAACACATTATATCATGCCATGGCATAACAAATCATATTTTTCCTGGAGTATGCAATCTCAAGATCCAGTTATCTTAAACACACTTACAATACAAGTCACCATTACTTTAAGTAGTGGAATAATCTTTTTTAATAACCCAAATTAAAACTCAAGAAATTAACTGAAAAGTGAATTCAATCAGAACTGAAGATCAGAGAGGGAAAAAGTTAGTCCAAAGCTACAGGCTTCATTTTGCTTCCCAAGATCAATCCAGATTAAAAAATAACTATGAATTGGAACTTGTGACACAAAAGTAACAAGCCTAATTTAAAAAAGATGGATTTTTAAGTTACTCTATTTTAGAGTTCATAAATAGCAGAAAATATTGTAGATACACCCTTGACATTAATATTAACATTCCAGCCTATAAATGTATGCACATCATATTTCTGGCAGTCTTGTGTACACAACTGCATATTCAAGATCTAAAGTTAAATGTGGTTGCACACACGCTATCTGCACACAGAGTGATATTTTAAATAGAAGTCTATGGCTCTACATTTAAAACAAGGATCACAATACCAGTGGTGGATCTTGGAGGCCACTGGTGGTATCTACTAGTCTAACTTCTCTACAAAGATGATGAGTTTTCATCTGAAACAATCCTTATAGTATTTAAGAAAACTCACTGGTCAGGAGATTTTAGAAACAACAATAATTAGAAGCAGCTAGAAATAAAAACCACGTGTTTTTAGATTTCATTTGCCATTCCAAAATACTTTCAAGTGCAAAAATGAAAAACAAACCTGCTAGAAGTTGACATTCCTGTATGACTACACATGTTGCTGTATGTAGCAGGCCCTGAGCACTGTCACAACAGAGCATTCTGTACCAATCATGAACTTTAATTCAATCACTAGCTAACTCAGACATGTCACATATGTTAAATACAATGGTTTAAAATGACTCCAGGACATAGTACCCATTTATATTCCTCAGCCTTACTGCTCCCATGACATACCAGCCCTGACATATCATTGAACAACAAAGCTAATAATAAAGATTGCATGTGAAATATTATAGCATCTAGTACCTTGACTGACAAAGCAATGTTTTCACAGAGAGATTAGAAAGACACATTTTAACAAATCAAATGCTTTCATGTTTATTTTTTAAAAAATAAAATTGGAATAAAGTTAAATGTCAAGCTAAAATGAAATCAAAGTGATGCTCACGACAGACAATGCATCTGATAGAATTACAATGTCATCATTCCACACACTGTTAAGCACGGTCAATATTTGCATCACGTTTTGTTTCCTGGCACTCCATCTGCAGAATGTGTCAGTCACATGAACTTAAACCATGTATTGCAGTCACTAATATTTCTTTTTACATTTTTATTCTTAAATTCTTACCCTGTTCAGAGAACAATTATCATTCAAGAAATGCTCAATTAAGAAAGTAATTACTGAATTTCTCCACCTAAGAAAATAAAGGTGGGTTTGTTTTGTGAGTTTGGTTAGTTGGTTTTGTTTGTTTTGGTTTTTTTTAAGTAACAGCAGCTGTTCTAGACAAAGTAAACTTTCAGTTCTGGAAAAAGGCTGTTTTTATGCAAGACTGGAACAGACCCAGGGGAAGGGTTAATAAAAACAACATACATTTTTAAGAGAAAGCAAGAATAATAATTTGATCTAGTGACAAGGTTCATCAAACTTTATTCTGTTTATCAGAAAAATACAACATCCTTCACATTGTGCAGCTCTCCTCTATGTTCCAGATTTACTTAAGACTCACAGAATAAGTTATCTATATTTTGCCAAGGACTTTAATTTCCAATTCCTTTTTAAGTTTAAGATTGAAAACAGAAGACTTGCCTCAAACATTACACTTTATTCATGAATTCTTTTCCTCCCACCAATTCGGTCATCTCCAAATAGAGGAAAGCAACCCCCAGGCGTACACAAACACTGAACTGTTTAGAATTAGTCAAAAAATCAAATAAGTTCTTGAAAGATTTTTTTTTCCATCGATATGACAGTGTTGGAATAGCTACCCAACTATATCTTCAGTCAGGTTCTCCTTGCTGCCCAAAGGAACAAACTGTGGCTGAACCTCTCAATAGCAAAATGTTCCAGCTGGAAACACCCATAGGTATCCAATCACATCAAAATCTGGAGTCAAGCTTTTTGAAAAAAATAGAGGTTTTTTTCTCATTTCAGGTTCAGTGTTTTAACTTTTTCAGTCAAACAACCTGACTCCATGCCAGTCCTGATTATTTCATGGCATGTCTCAATGCACAAAGCAACAACAGCATGGAAAGTAACCCAGATCTATAGCGTGTGCAACAACAGCTGCAGAAGTGCAGAAGAACCATGTTGCAGCTTACTGCACACCAGTTTACCTCATTGTAATACACTTTGCAAGGCACACTCATGTCTGCAAATGCTTTGGTCAGAAAAACAGTTTATTCTCTCACAGGCAACGTGCTAGTCTACTGCCTATCCCCTTTACTTACATGCAAGCTAGAGCAGAGTTAGAGTTGTACACAGACCCTTAACATTACTAGCACTTCCATACTCAGTCTGTGAGCATTTTCAGGGCAGTATTTTATGGAATCCTTTATTTGCAACTCTGCAAAGAGGTGATTTAAAGCTGACTTCTTCTTGTCCCTCGATCTAAATGCTTTGAGAACACTTGAGTACGCAGAGTCACCAAAGGAGTAGAGAAGGTCTTCAAAACAGTGAATTTTGCAAGTGTTCAAACACAGCTATTTAACCTGGAGTCCTGGAGGATTAGTAAATTTTATAAATCCCACTGAGTTTCAGGCTTCCCTATATCTTTTTTAGGGATAAGCTTCTTTTAAAAATCCTGAACACAAACAGAGAATTGCTTCACTCAAAGATATTTACACCTCTCCTAAAGCACATTCAGGAACACATTTTTAACCATCTTTTTAAATGCAGAAAACAAGTATTTCTTCAAAGTGTTAGGTGAAGGAGAAACTAGAAACTTTTAGGTATTAAAAAGGATAGTTATAACCCAAATAGTAAGATGAAAAAAAAGGTTATTTTTATCAGCAGGGTAGTAAGGTCAAGAGCTTCAAAAGAAATTGAAAGTTCTAGGAAAGACTTTCAGAAGTACAATACTAGAGTTCAAGCTTAAGGAAGAAATAGCAGATACAGAAAACACTTTCCTTATTTATCAAAACATTTATTATTCATCATCAAAACACAACAGGTAGACAAAGGAAGCAATTGAAAAAATAACAAAGAATCAAGAATCAACTGAAAAGAGAAGTCACAATATTTTTACAAAACAGGGAACTCAGATGGCAAATGGCACATGTCAGACAATAATAAAAAGCATTTTTTCCTTGACTACTACAAGAGAGCCCTGACATACCTTGGGCCCCGAAATCTGTGAAGCACAAACAACTTGGACATTTAAGATTCCTAACAGAGAACTATCAAAGGTGTTAGAGAATAAGCAATACCAGTAATATACAGATGGAGGACAACATGTAAGAGTGCAAAAACATCCCGTGATTACAGGACTACCAGCTGCAAGAACAGTGGTTATTACTTCCCTGGAGAGCCAGAGTGGGAAAAGAAAGAGGCATTACAGTTAGTGACGGATAGAAGGGGAAATCAACCAAGAGAGACGAACATCAAACAAACGACACATCCTGGATAAGAAACAGTGCAGCCACATGGTCAGAGTGCTGACCAGGCTTGGGAAATCTGGTTTCTAGTCCTGGCTCTATCTGAGCAACAGCTTTCCTTATGTAAAACAGGGGAAAAAAAAGGATGCCTCTGACAAGTAAATCATACCATCATCCCATTGCATTACACACATTGCATATCTCAGTATTCACCATTCTCAGTGCACGAAAAACTAGTCTTTGACTGCCAACATATTCATTCAACAGTAAAGCACCCAAACAAAAAAATATCCATGCAGCACAACACTGAACCTAATGAATCTACAAATCCTTTGTGGTATGTCACAGTAGTCTTAGCTTAATCTATTGACTTTTCCAGACTCTCTAAAAGCAAGGTTTCACCAAATAATTACTGATATAAATACGGTAAATGTTCATACTTAGTACAAAGATAACAACTACAAGTACTTCTTCCAACACCTACAAAAAGTCTGTCTATTTAAAATCACTTGTAGTAATTTAGTCTTTAATCTAACACCATCCATACTGGGAGGTCAGGGGGAGGGTTTAAAATTAGCCCATACATGTTGCAAAATGTAATAAATTAATTTCAAGACATTCAAGAAAATCCTTTATTTATTCAAAACATCACACTTAAAAATAGCAAGAGGGTCTTTTTTTGTGGGGTTTTTGTGTTGGTTTGGTTTTTGGAGTTTGTTTTGGGTTTTTTGAAGCTAGGTAATTGTGTCCAAAACAAGAGACAACTCACTTGGTGATTAGTAATGAATCAGCACAAAGGTCTTGACAGTTGCACTGAGCGTACCACACTTCAGCCTTGGAAATTAAGTAACAGGGGCAGCCTAACTATCAAGTCATCAGCTTCTCACCTGCTAGTAAGTTTGCTTGGTCATTTTTTTTTCTAGTCATATAGGTCTAGTCTTGAGGCTTAGGACAACCAAAGATCTTTCACAGAAGGGAATACTGATAACTTGCAAAACAAACCCATTTTTGGGGTAGTACATTGCATGTTCACCTGAGCCTTTCTGTTTTGATTGTTCAACTTTTACATGAAGTTGCTGCTGACAAGAGCAGCTTTTGTAGGTCACCTTCAATTTCAATTTTCTGTGTCCTTCCCTGATACTTCCCACCAGTTTCACCTGACAGGTTTAGGGTCAGATGGCTCAGAACACTTTCACTCAGTGCTGCAGCAAACATCAAAAAAACCCCAAAGAATAAGTTTATCCAAATTTGCTTTAAATACTTACACTCCAACCAAGCAGTTTCCACTTCCATATCACTACTACCCCAATCTCACCCCTACAGACCATAAAGGCTTAGCCTTTATCTTTCTCCTAATAACATTTGTTATGCACTCATCACCAGGGAAAGGGAGAGAGGGCATGATACACACTGAAAATAAAACAGACACCAGCATTGAAATCTCTGATACATAAATCATTATAAATATTTGTTTAATAAGAATTAGACAGTGGGCATACTGATTAAGCAGTTCTTTGCTCCGTTTGAGAGATTAACAGTTTAGTCCTGCTTTTAAAGAACCTGAAAGCCTCTATTACCTTTGATAACAGAAAAGCAAAATAAAGCATCTTTGCAATCAGCTTTAAGCAATAAAATTCAGAAGCAAAGCCACCTTTGCTATAGTTAAAATTTTAAGAAAGAAATTTTGTAGGTGTACCTGATGATGCTGAATGTTCTTTATATTACAAGAAAACTCATGGTACAGTTGGAATTTATTGATATCTTTTTCATTTCCACTTTTGGATGACACTTTTGCCAAGGCTGACTGGATACAAATGTATCTTTGCTGACATCTGAATAAAAGAAACAAAATGTAAATAATGTATTTTAGCATGAGACTTGTAACCAGTCATTAGTGCTTGCATTAAACAAAAATTTCGAGACTGTCCAATCACAAGTTAGGTTAACTTTAATTACCTGCAGAACTGTATGACATATCTTAACACTGAGACTGACATAATATATACTGACTGCAACATGCCAAGAGAAGAAATTCAACCAGACCTCAGAAAAAGCTGAACACAGCCCTTCTCCTGGAGAGAATGGATACTCAAAAACCACCATCAGCACTTCAGTTTGGTCAGTTATTGGTTCAACTTCACTGTATTGGGTTTGTGTAGCAAGATTTTGGTAGCAGGGGGGCTACAGAAGTGCCTTCTGTAAGAAGCTGCTAAAAGTTTCCCCCATGTCCGACAGAGCCAATGCCAGCCAGCTCCAAGATGGACCCAACGCTGGCCAACGCCGAGCCCATCAGTGACGGTGGTAGCGCCTCTGGGATAAAACATATTTAAGAATGGAGAAAAAATGTGCACAACGGCAACAGCAGTTGGAAGAAAGGAGTGAGGATACGTGAGAGGAACAACTCTGCAGACACCAAAGTCAGTGCAAAAGGACAGAGAGGAGGGCTCCAGGTGCCAGAGCGGAGGTTCCCCTGCAGCCACTGGTGCAGACCATGGTGGGGCAGCTGTGCCCCTGCAGCCATGGAGGGTAATGGCGGAGCAGATCTCCACCTGCAGCCCAGGGAAGACCCCACGCCGCAGCAGGTAGCTGTGCCCAAAGGAGGCTGTGACCCCGTGGGAAGGTTGTGCTGGAGCAGGCTCCTGACAGGACCCATGGCCCCGTGTAGAAAGGAGCCCAGGCTGGAGCAGGTTTGCTGGCAGGACTTATGACCCTGCAGGTGACTTACACTGGAGCAGTCTGTGTCTGAGGGACTGCACCCCATGGAAGGGACCCACGCTGGAGCAGTTTGTGAAGAACTGCAGCCTGTGGGAAGGACTCATGTCAAAGAAGTTCATGGAGGACTGTCTCCCATGGAAGGGACCCCTGGCTGGAGCAGAGGAAGAGTGGGAGGAGTCCCCTGCTGAGGAGGATGGAGCAGCAGAGACAACATTTGATGGACCGACCACAACCCCCCTTCCCCATCCTCCTGCACCACTGCAGGGGAGGAGGTACAGAATTTTTGAGCAAAGTTAAGCCCAAGAAGGAGGGAGGGACAGAAGGAAGGTGCTTTAAGATTTAGTTTTTATTTTCTCATTATTATACTCTGATTTGATTGGTAATAAATTATTTTTTCCAAGTGAAGTCTGTTTTGCCTGTGATGGTAACTGCTGAACAATCTCTCTGTCCTTATCTTGACTCACAAGCCTTTTGTTTTATTTGCTCTCCCCATCTCGTTGACGATGAGAGTGACAGAGTGGCTTTGGTGGGTACCTGGAGTCCAGTCAGGCTCAACCCATCACATTTTGCAACTTCTTGAAAAAATTAGTTATGTATTTTATGCAAATGCAACATCTCTCTTGAATGTTCCCAGCCTCAGAATTAACTTCTTGCTTTAAGAACTTCACATGCGCAAAAGTTTCCTTTTTTTTTTCAAGGAGTAACAGGGATCCCAAACAGATATCTTCCTGAATGCTCCTCATGATTATTACACCTACAACACACTTTGGATCAACAGGATACGTCTGTAGAGCACTGTCTATCCAATTAAGGAGCTTCTAGTGGTTGAAAGAAAGTGATAGACTGGAAGTAACAGCATCCTTTACAAAACAACCCCTTCATTGAAATTATCACATTGCTGTGCTCTAGCCTTTTGATAAAGTCGGCCATTACCCACGATAAACAGCAAACAAGGGTCAACTAAACAGAACTGAGCCAATTCAGCATGCATGCTATTAAGGTGGCACCTGTTCTTTGATAACCCTGTTCTCTGTCCCCAACGGTACACAGCAGAAAGAAAAAAAAACAACAAGCAACTACTACTCTGTCACACCAGTCCCCCAGACATGGCAACCCTAAAGTCATGTAACGTGAGAAAACTTATATTCAGCTAACACAGTCAAAGGATCAGTAACTCCTGCTTTAAAAACAGTCATATTTGTTTGCCTTATTCACTACCAATGCCAAAAATCAACCACCGCTGCATGCTAATTACACTGACTGGTGTCAAACAGTAAATATTGGAGCAATAGCTCAAGCAGCTGCACTTCGGAAAAGTTATAGCTTGAAGGAAGTGCAAGGACAGAAAGCTTTCCCTTACAGATCACTAAGTGCAAAAGAGATTGCCTCTAAATGGAGTAGAGCTACAGAGTTTTTCAGTCTTTGGGACTCAGTGTCATGCCATGCTCACATCCAGATGAGCAGAAAGGCTCATGAATGTACCTCCAGCATAAGTGAAGGAATGGATCTAAATCAATCTCACAGTAAACACTGTTCTCACATCATCAAAAAAAATTAGTTATGTATCTGCATGCTAAGAAGATGAATGTTACCATGTAACCAGGAAAGTTTAGAAAGTAAGAGCCAAACTTACAATTTCCTGATAAAATCCAGTGTATCTTTATCTTTAGCGACGATATCAGCTAAAATATGCTGTACTCCAGCCTCTACTTCCTGGATAGTTGAAAGTCCTTAAATAAAACACAGTTAATAATTATAAAAACACTAATATGAAAAGTTACTTTTCACAAATAAGAAAATATATAAAAGCTGAAAGAAAATTGATACCAAATATCTGACTGATTTACAGGGGTTTCAATGAAGAAGAATACTATTTAATTAGAATTTTTTTATTAACTAAGCTTCCTTTTTCCAAAACATCTGAAACCATTATATTTTTAATGAGCCTAAAGTGACCAATGCAGTATCATAAGTCAAAGTGACATTGAGAGAAAAATCACAATTGTTTTACTTTGATGCTAACAGATCTTGACATTTATGATGCAAGTGAATTATTTACAATAGTTAAATTGGATATTCAGGTGCAATTTTTGAGGCTGTAACAAAATGACTAATTGTAGCAGAAGCCTACATGTTTTGTTACTGATATGGACACTGCCTTAACTCTTTGCAGGCAAACCTGTCTCTTTGTGTGATAGTTTTGTATTTCCACTGGTTTATAGCGGGAGTTTGCACAGTGACACTTCTGAGGTCAGGGTACCCTCATCCTCTCCCACAAAACACTGTTCAAACAGCAAAGTTATAAAATGTCTCCATAGTCAAAGTATTCTAGAGAGCTGATAACAGAATCATTCAACTTTCCACCGCACAGAACCATCCCTCACTTCAAAAGACCAGAAGAGGTGGCACCATATTGTCCTTAGCGCAGCAGTTGAATTGGACCAGAACCAGAAGGTAACGAAATAAAACTGACATCTTAAATTTAAATCAATATACCTAACCTTGTTTCTAGCAACAATCAGTAACAAAAGCTTCAGAGCAAAAAGCAAGAATCTTAGAGTTGGCAGATGCAGCACTGTCTCCTTCAACATACATTTTTCACTGTGCTGTCTGATGGACTACCAATATCTTGAAAGAGCTTTATTAACACCATATAAGAAAACCTGCATACTTCTAATAACTAATATTTGTATTGAATCCAGAACCTTGCTTCTGATTGGGCTATAGAGTTACACACTACAAAAAATAAACATTGCCCTTTTTTTAAAAAGGGGAAGCTAAGCTTACCTGCCAGCAAGAAAAATAAAAATGTGAGAATAAGAATGTTATTAAATGCCTGAACTGATGAGAAGTTGCAGACATAAGGATCCAAATTCCACAAGTTAGTGTTTCCTATGGTAAAAGTAATGTCATGCCAGAATACAAAGCTAAAGGAATTATAACACACGCATTATACTGAATACGAATTAATGCACTCAAGTACCAGAAAATTACATGGCAACATTATTTTAATTCTAGCAGAGAATTTGAATGAGATAGAATAGGCCAAAACCAAGTCAGGATTAAAGAACTAATAAAAAAGTTCCCATTCAACAAGTACTACTCACTGGCATTTTACTGTGTTCATTGCAAAAACAGCACGTTTGTGTAATTAGAGAAACATTTGACCATGTATACAACCAAAAGGAAGAACAAAGTTTTCTGGTGAGCTTGCTTCCTTAACTTTCATATATGTGGCTTTGAAACATGAGCTGCTGTTTCTATTTCAGTTTATTTTTAGTGTAAGTTTAAAAACACTGATAATTTAAAAGAACTCGATATTAAGATTTTATGAAAACTTTTCTGCATGGCTCATCCCTTCAAAAAAAATTCACTCTGATCTCAAGTTGTATCTAGTTTGTCAAACTGGCTCCCAAGTTGATAAAAGTGACCCAGTTCATAGATGTATGTAATTTCTGATGCTCCTTTTAAATTAAAACCATTATATAAACCTAAGCAGCTATTTTTAGCACAAAATTGAAAACAAGTGTACTGATTTTCAAAAACTGTAATGTTTATGCTGCAACAAATAGGGTGCATTCAGAAGGAAGTGCTAAATAATTTATTTGAACTTTCACTGTGAAGATTTTCTTTTGTCTCTTCAGACTCTGCCAGAATAGTCAGATGTTTGGTTGCAGTATACTTCTGTAAGAAGTAATGACATGATAAAATGCAGTAATTAAACAATCAGAATATTTGGTAACTGGTTTTCAATGCAAAGTTAAGAACATTTTATAAACAATACTTAAATAACAAAAGAATAACTGAAGCAGGAAGACTAAGAGTCAGCCTCACTAAGGAGGTTCACTACATTTATGCTAAAATTTAAAAAGTGTTGGGGCAGGAAAGAATAAAAGTACAACTCTACTTAAACACCATACTAAAGGTTGCAGCAATCGTCGTACTTTATTGTCAGAGATTGCCCCCTACAGATTCACCCATAACTGCATTCAAAGAAACACAACTCTGCAGTCTATATGTAACAATCACATTGTTCAAGTTCCTGCTCAAATTTCAGAGATTATATCTTCTCCAAACCCCACGGTCATTCAGTAACAAAAACTCTCGCACTCACTCCCAATCACCAAGGCCAGCTTTTATTAAGATATGCTTTGATGGGTAACATTTACTTCAGTACAGAGTATGAGCGTAAGCCTCTTGTACAATTAGCACTGAATCTTCAGTAAACAATTCAAGAAAGAGTAGAACCATGGAGAGGTCTCAGGTGTGCAGTGCAGTTCCCTCTCTCTTACCAGTAAATACAGATGTCAACTGTAACATCTCCAGACTTTTATCTCTTGTATTCCAGAATTATTACTATTTACAACATAAAAAGACAGGAAAAGTTGGAGCTATGGCATTAAATTTAAATTCTTACTATATGTTGTTTAAAAAGCCCGTTGAATTCAAGATAGTTGCATAACTTCCAGCAACATCAGAACAATTAAAGTAATTCCCCTTTTAAAATATTTTCAGCCATTTAGGACACTAGTGATCATAGAAGAGCACTTACCTTTGGTATTGGGTCTAATGTAAGAGAAGAGATTGAGTTCCATGGGATTCTGCAGGAGGGAGAGAGCTGCAGGTTCTAATCCCAGCTGCTTGGCTCTCTGGGCTTTGGTGCCTTTACTCCCCGTTTTATAAGGTGCAGACTTAAACAAAAAACACAGTTATTAAAAGGCAAGGAAATATTTCAATCTTGCTATGCACTTTTCATGATGCACTGTTTAGTTACGCAGGATTACATTTAAACTAAAGATGATCTGAAAAATACTAGTATACTGACCACATGGTCTAATTCTTCCAAAGTTCTGCAATTTAGTAAGGCTGTTAAAACACATCCAGACAGCTTCCCTTCTTTCTTCAACTTCTGTATCATTGTATGCGCCTTCTTTGCAACAGTACTAAAACGTAAGAGATTGATATTAATAGTCACATTTCCCAGTGGATTAAAAAGGCTATTGATTGTGACCCTGTTCATTACACTGCTGGAACATTCTGAAACCCCTGAAGATTGTATCTCATGCTAATCCTCAACAAACCAAGTCTGATAATCCAAAAGAGTTTCCAACTATTACTCTTTCTCCAATCAGTTCAAAACTGTATCAAAATGTCTTGTGGTAGCTTTAAGAAAAATCAAAGTAATACCAATAGCCATTGCTACTATACAATTTATTTTCAAGATTACTAGCCTGGAAGTCAAATAAAAAGGCCCCAAGTTAAATCCATGTTGATAAGCACTTACAGCTGTAATTCATATTACGATAGTTCTGCAGCATCAAGTACAGGGTATCAGATATTAAACTTAGATCTTCAACAGGACGCTTGTGAGCAACTGCAAGCAGCAAACATATATTATAATTTAAATTACTTGTTCAGACAAGAACTTTCTCTGGCCACCTTCCCTCTTTGGAAAGAATCTTGATAGGGGATAGTGGTGAGAGTACAAGGAGGAAGCCACCATGTTGACAGAACAGCTGGCAAGTCTGTTCCCTTACCATCTCAAGAACATATAGACACACAAAAAGCAAGAAGGAAGGAGAGCAGTCTCATCCACCCCTGCAGCAGGCTTTGCTGATCATTTCTTTGCTGCAATGGTCTGGGACAGTTTAGCCTGCTCTCTGGGCACACTGCAACCTCAAGTAGTGCTCTTCACTAGAGGCTTTGCTGCTTCAAGCAGGAAGCCAAGGGATTCTTAGTCATTTTTTTTTTGAAGGGTGCAGCTTACATCTAATCAGGCTACATAGCTCCAGAACCTATAAACTACTTTAATAAGAGTTTTTTCTCTGCAGTTTTAGTACACTACAGAGAAATTGCAATCTTAATTTTTCTTTGGCAATCAATAATGTTAAATTTCTTGTTACTTACTATAAAAAAAAAAAGACAAGTATCAAGCATAATTACCTCAGTTTTAAACTTTCTTCTTTAGGAGTTCCTTTATAACTATAGTGCACATGAAGTGCCAAAACAAGGAACAGAGATGCAGCAGCAGGTTGTTACTGACCTCCCCCCAGATACCTCCCTGTATTAACTTACTTACCGTAGTTCTTCCAATGTTTGCTGCATTTCTCGCAAGGCATCGGCCTCCAGATTATTGATGAGCTCTTTTCGATATCGAGCAATAAAAGGAATTGTGTTTTCCTCTTTAAAGAGGCAAATTAAGTTTGCACATACCCATGGTTCAACATTTGTTATTTCTGACAAGGCCTGTCAGAAGGAAAAAAAACACAACACACACACCACATTTAAGAGAATTTAAGAGAGACAATAGATTGGTTTAAGCAGCCTCACTGAAAGCTCAAAACCACCCCCACAATGTTATGCTGGCCAGCAGCGACTACTGTCCTCCCCAAGACAGGATGCCAGGCTCCACATGCATCTAGCCACCATGCTCACTACTTCAGAAAGACATGCAGCAACCAATGTTTCCAGAAACTTGGAAATTACAGAAAAAAAAAAATGCAGGAACGAGTGCCTTTTGGGAACAGAAAAAAAACCCAAACAATTGAAAACAGATCATAAAGACAACAAACTGCACGTGGCAACTCAGAAAACTTGGAACTTCTCTTTTTAAAACCAACACTGACACACCTCAAGGTTAAACAAAACCCACAAACCCAGACCTGATCCAAATCCCACTTCACCAATAACTGGAAACTATCGTGATATTACTACAGATTTCACAATGAACCAAGCCTTACAAACATTATTTTGTACAAATTGGGCTTTCTGAAGATAAAGTTAGTGTATCAATACAGAACCAAGGACACTTTGCTACAGTTATTCCCATAGACAGCTGTCAGCACTATACCCAGCCTCCCAGAACAGGAGCTATCCTAAAACTGTCTTCCTCTCAACAGCTTCAAAGTTAACATCCTAAAAAAACAAAGATGATATCTCCCTTGATGTCACCGTTGTTCCAAAAATGCAATCTCCTCCTTGATGGTACTGTAAAGTGATACACACTCTCAAACGAGTCTCTACAACAAAACGTTCTACGCTAAGACTTAGATTCTGAAACTGTGCACACAGATATCTCAAATCTTTCAGTATCCCTTCCTGCAAGAGTTTCAGTTGACTATATCCCACAAAAAAAAAAAAACATTTGCTAATACAGAAGAAATGTGCAAACTGTTACAGGCAAGCTTTGTACTAAGGACTACCTAAGTCACAGGTATTAGAATAATGTTAAAGTTTGAAGCTTTAACAGTTATCAACCAACATTTACCTTTATATATGTATTATGACAATTTAAGCTAAGGTTAAATGACTACTTAACAGCACAATGACTCTCTGACACTCCAACTGATGCCAAGACTGAAATTGTATGTTAGGTTCTAAGTGCTAATTATGTAGGAAATGGTTTCATTGATACCTCAGAGAAGGAAAAGATCATACCTGTACAATATCCCAGTTCATTTCAAATTCTTCTTTTATTTTGTTGCCTCCTAGATTTTTAACTGGCTTTCCTTCAGGACATGTAGTCGACTTAATCTTTTTAAAAGGTGGTTCATCAAATGCAAAATCTTCTTCAGATTTCTCATGTTTCATTTGATTTCCCTCTACAGGAACACTTGTTGAGGGTTTTTCATCACTCACTAAACTCTTTGCATTCTTCCCTTGGAATGAATTTGTTTCCATTTTTTTAGGCACTTCTGGCTTTTGATTTAAAGTTTTTGGTTTAGTGCCTACATCTTCTTCCTTAGGTTTCAGAAGTTGCATTCTATTATCTTCTGCAAGAGCAATAGGCAAGGATACATCCTGCCAAAAAGGCATTGAAATCATATTAAGCACTGACTGTTACAAACTGGTTCAAGATTTCGATTAAAAGCTAGGAAGACCTGATACCAGACATCACTTTCCCAAGAGATGTCTCTGTCTGGCAGGGAAATGCCAAGCCAGAAATCAAGTCACTTGAAATCTATCTTGTGTGGAAGAAAAGATACAAATATACTCAGCAGAACTGTGATTCAAAAGATTGAATAAAATTATCTTGGAAAGACTATTTGGGCTGGCCAGAAGACACTGACCTACAGGCCTTGCCTCTACTCATCACAACAAAACAGGGAACAGGAAGGCAGGGAAAGCACTCTTCTAACGAGGTGTTAGGTGCAGCATGGAAACTGGAACTGAGATGTGGTCCACTAAGATACTGTTTAACCTTGGACGAGACACACCTTCTTTCCTTAATTTCCCCAGAGATCATCTTCAGATTCCAAGAATGTATTTCTCAATATGCCACATACATGAAAACATTCAGAAACATTAGTATAAACCAGAAGGACTGTCTTCTATCATGACCTGACCTCCAATGTTAATCTTTGACAGAAGTAACTTCTATCAGAAGTGCATCTTATATTCGTAATAAAACTGTGATCTAACTTACTGGGTCAAACAGCCATACAAGGCGACACAAGTCTTTTTGTTGTGGTACTCAAATGGTAAAAAGGTAGAAGACAAAGGTGCACCACAGAAACCAGAGATATTAGAACATTTAGTTTTCATTACAGACAGAACAGATGGATTTTTTTACCTATTTTTGTTGTTGAAAGATTTACAGGAAAAACCATGTCCCATTATCATTGGCCAGAATTTTAAAAGAAGGCCCTTAGATCCAGGACACAAATACATAAGAAAGCCATGTGTATCAAATATACTGAATATTCACAGCAACTGTGGAATCACAACTAGCTGATCAGACTCAGGCACCCAAGAGAACCAGAGTAAGTAAATGTCTCTTGCTTACAGATACTCACCATTTCCTCTTTTATTGCTACCTTCTTGACCTTTTTCCTGGCCACTGCTGACTGTGGAGCAGCAACTTTTTTAGTTTTTGCCACATTTTTCTTTGGCAAACGAGTTCTCTTGGCAGTTTGGCTTTTGGGCTCCCACTCCTCCTCTTCTTCCCCTGATTCAGAGCTCCTGTAAAACAGACAAGTAAACAATATTGTTCACGAGAAGAATAAAATAATACATAAGCTAGCCAGTCTGAGTGTTTTCTGACGTGAAAGGAAGCAAACAGGAAAAATGAACAGGAATGTAGGCAGGCTCAACAGAATCACAGAATGTTAGAGACTGGAAGGGACCTCGAAAGATCATCTAGTCCAATCCCCCTGCCGGAGCAGGAACACCTAGATCAGATCACACAGGAACACATCCAGGCGGGCTTTGAATGTCTCCAGAGAAGGAGACCACAACCTCTCTGGGCAGCCTGTTCCAGTGCTCTGTCACCCTCACCGTGAAGAAGTTTTTTCTCATATTCAAGTGGAACCTCCTATGTTCCAGCTTGAACCCATTGCGCCTTGTCCTATCACTAGATGTCACAGAGAAGAGCCTGGCTCCATCCTCCTGACACTCACCCTTCACGTATTTATAAACATTGATTAGGTCACCCCTCAGTCTCCTCTTTTCCAGGCTAAAGAGACACAGCTCCCTCAGCCTTTCCTCACAAGGGAGATGCTCCATTCCCTTAATCATCTTTGTGGCTCT